AGCGGGAACCGGTCTGTATGTGGGATCCGAACCCTCGGCGGGAGCGCCACCGGGCCAGCCCAGAAATGCACTGTTCTTAAAAGGGTACTTAAGGGACATGGACCTATTTCCTCACATTTTTCTGCACATGTTCTGTTGTTAATGGCCCACACGCACCTACAGCGTCCACTCAGGCCTTGGCAACCTTACAAGGGTAGATTTCACTGTTCCCACTGTGCTCATCTGATATGGGTTTTCATATTGATATGTGATTATTTTCAAAATCTCTGTGTGCTTAGCCGTAAAGGTGACAATAAATGATGCTTAATAGCTTCTGGACTTTCCCCATTCTCTTGCTCCTCTGTCATGAGCCCTTTTCTCCTCCTCCCTTCCACTTTCCCCAGTACTCCAGTACCTGCAGAGACCAGGCAGCTAATGTAAATGGGAACAGGGGCAGGAGGGGACTATGACACAGCCATGCTCTGCTTCTGCCAGTCATTGCTGCATCAGTTTCAGGCCCAGAGTTGCCAAATCATCTTACTTCCCAAGAGAATTTTAAACATTCTTAAATGTTGTCAATTGGTTCAAAACTTTAACTTTTCCTTATGGAAATTTGCAAATACACAAAAATAGAATAGAATGATGCACCCATGTATACCCATCACCCAGCTTCAACAGTGTTCAACTCATGGCCAGTCTTGTTTGTCTGTAGCCGCACCCATTTCTCTCACCTCCCCAGATTATTTTGAAGGAAATCCAGACATGATATCACTTCATCTGTGAATATTTCAGTATGTATCTCTTCAAGACAAGGATTCTCCATTTTAAACAGCCACAATGTCATTACCACATTTTACAAAATGGACTGTAATTCCTTAATATCATCAAGTACCTGGTCAGTTTCAAATTTTTCCAATTGTTTTATAGTTTTTTCATAGCTTGTTCTAATCTAGATTTAAATTGGATCCATATATTGCAGTTGGTGATATGTCACTTACATCTCTTTTAGTCTATGGGTTCCCCCACCATCTCCCTAACTGATTTTTTCTTTGCGATTTACTTTTGAAGAAGCCATGTGGTTCATGTGGTCAAGTTGCCCCCAGCCTGGGTTTTGCTGACTATATACCCATGGTGTCATTTACCATGTCCATCCCTTGCACTGCCTGTGAGTTGATTGTTAGAACTGGAGCTGTGGTTTTCAACCTGGCTGCACATTAGGATCGCTAAAGAAGCTATTAAAAAGTGCCCAGGCCCTACCCAGACCAGCTGAATGGGGATTTCTGG